TGGGGTAATTTGGGGGGAAAATGATACTTTTTTTCATTGAGAATGGGGTCAAACCTTTTCTCTGAAATAATCTTAAAAAACCCTGGCTATGTAAAGCAAATCTCTCTATATATTAACAGTAATATTGATTATTTGTGGAACATTGAACCAGCATCAAAATATATGTGTATTGTCAACGTTAAAAAAAATATCAAAAAGTTAGTATTTATCCAAAAGAAACCACTGAAGAAGATTTTAAAGAATGAGGTTCATGTTAAATAACATTTTATCATAATCAGTGGCATACCAGGGAAAGCACAGTTGTCTGAGTCTAGGTAATGTACGATGTATACCATAAAACTTACTTCTCTGTCAACATCAGGAGAATAAAAGCAAAGACACGGACAAAGCGGAAAAACATTTGAAATTGATCTTGAAGTTTTGCATGCATCCATAGGACCTCCATTAATTTTTATTTATTTTTCTGTAGAAAATGATTATTTCATGTAGCAAAGTGAAATGAAAAATTTGAAATTGATCTCATTCAGTAACCCTTGATACCTTACTGCATGATATGTGAGGTAAATTATGTCACTCACCAGGGGCCGTCTATAGAGTTTCGAACAGGGGATTTACTACTGTTCCCTTCTGGGGGATATGAATTATACTTCACTAAGTAAGAAAGTTAACAGAGGGGCTTATCCAAGAATTATAGTAATTTTATAATCCGTAAATAATCCAAGTTCAAAATATCTTGCTTGCAACTGTATAGATCAGCAAGATTTAATATTTCACAATTATTTGTACACTGTCGTAACTATACCTGGGGTGATGGTAAACACTATACTCCTACAGCTTTCCTCCTACCTACAAACTCACTGCTGTATACGTTATATTCTAATAAATGCCCGCCGCAGTCTCATAAATAATAGTCCTTTATCTTTAATTTTTACTTCCTTCGTGCTTTGAAATCTTAAATTTAAAGAGAACTCGTTCATTTTAATTTGCCGAACTTGAGGGGACATATTATGGTTTGTCAATTTTCCTATTTTCTGATAAGTACGACTGTGTAGTAGGACGAGAAATAGTGATACATATAGTGCCGTCGCTGGGGCTCGATTCTGCGACCCTTAATTGGCTCCCCAGCCCGTTGCTCTTCCGCTGAGCTAAAGGGAGATTCCCTGCAGCTGACGCTTGTAAGGCAACCTAATCAATGCACTTCTTTTATGCTATTCCCCCTTTTTTCAATCACCAAGCCAGGTTCTTCGTCTTCCCGCCATGGGTTTTCCTACCTTAAACGGGGAGGGTCAATGACACCAGTTTGTAGTAGGACAAGGAATAGTGATAAAGATAGTGCCGTTGCTGGGCCTCAAACCTGCGACATTTGGCTCTCCAGCCCGATGCTCTACCGCTGAGCTAAAGGGAAATTCCCTACAGCTGACGCTTGTTAGGCAACCTAATCAATGCACTTCTTTTACAACTGTAATCTCCAAGAAAAGATTGTTTTCATTCTTCTTGGAATTAATGATGTCATTTCTGACTCTCCAGCAACGCATACTAATCAGTCTACATTCTTTTCTGTGGATAGACATACATTGGTCCTTCCTTTCTAAATGAATACACTTTGACAGCTGATGATAAATGTCCCTTTTCTAATAATAATAATAACTTGAGGTTCTTATATACTGCTTTATCACAACCTAGTTCGTAGGTTGTCTCAAAGCGACTCGCAAATTATTATCCCTGGTGATGGGGCCTTTGCAACCACCCAATAGCTTTCTCAACTCTCTCCCTGGGGAACATACAGCCGGTACGTGCTGCCATTTCAGCGCTCACAGCTAGAATTCAACGATTCTAGCACTGCTCGACCACGTACTCATTTACAGTTGAGTAGACTGGAACAAGCGGAGTAAAGTATCTTGCTCAAAGAAACAACACAGTGCCGTGCCGTGACTCCAACCCGCAACCCTTCGGTCACGAGCCTGGCATCCTACCAATAGACTACCATGCCTCCTTAAGACTAGAGACTATATTTAAGATGTTTATTTTGGGAAAAGAAATGATAACTGACTATCAATCGTAATTCTGTAGCAATTGATTTTCATCCATAGCAGGAAAATCACAGGTCCAATGGACATTACGTTTGCTTTAGATATACATGGAAGTGAATATTATGCATATACTTGCATGCCCATTAGACCAGTGCAAAATGGTCTGTTCGGTGATATTTTTTTTATACTTACAGCATATAAGTAAAGTGTCAATAACTTGTCAAATATGCACCTTAGACAGGAAAACAAGTTTATATTTCTGTCAAATACTTGTGTTATAAAGGCTACATTCAAAGAAAGGCACATTTTGGGAATATTTCCAGGCAAAAAACATTTCTTAAGGTTCAATGCTTTTGAAAATATTGTTTTATCTTGACATCTAGGTACACACAGTTTGTGTCAACTTTCATTAACTTATATTATTTGTGTATTTAAAGGCAATCATTTTGTGTATCTAAGGGTGATCATTTTGTGTATCTAAGGGTGATCATTTTGTGTACTGTATAACACGAAATGTTCGTGGGTACTTTCCTTCGTGGTTTGTAGCCATGTAGATCGTTTCGTAGTACAAACTTTCGTGGATATCTTATATTAACAAACAGTAGACACGTATATCATTCAAATTTGTTGTTTTTATTTTCGTAATTCAACAACGAAACCCACAAATATTTATACACAACGAACATGTTATACAGTATCTACAGGTGATCACCCTCAAGGAATACACGCCTTATTAATCATATTGCTGGATATCTTTGTTCAAAACCTTTTAATTTGAATATTTCATGTAATGGATTATATTATACTAGTATCACATGATAGAACAGCCACCATACCTGTATCGTTTTTCTTTAACTGACTTTTGCCTTAATTGCTTGTCTGATGATATTTACTTATTTGTCACTTACCTGACTGACATCATCGAAAGAGCAACTTGGTTTAACTATCTTATGGAAGTTTGCTTTACAGAAATTACTGAGGCTGAAGTTTCTGCATGATTGTTGCACATTAAAGTCTACTGTTTTTTAAGCAGATATCGAAAATAACAAGATTCAAGATATCATTAAATATCACATCATATATCATAAAAACCTATTCTGTTCTTTCTTTCAGGGGGGTGCGGTTTTTACAGATTTTAAGAATGTTACATGTAGATAGGCAAGGTGGCACCTGGAGATTGTTGGGGTCTGTCATATATTTACACAGACAGGTGAGTACCAATTAACTGTCTTCTACAGATAGTCAATGTCTGACACATATGTGTATTGTTCCATTAGCCCCTCCAACCCACCACCATGGGTTATATTTCTTGTTCGTTACAAGCCCTATACCATACAAACCTGTAGTCTTTTTCTGGCTGACTGCAAATTGTATTGTATAAGATCGTGCATTGTTATGTAGTAAACAGATGTATCTTCGACAGCATAATTTAGTTTTTCCATTCACAGCTACTTGATTCACAACTTAATTTGATTCACAGCTACTTGATTCACAACTTAATTTGATTCACAGCTACTTGATTCAAGCACAGTCACAATAACTTACATACTCTGTTGTCCAGTATACCTATATTTAACTTTTGTCTTTCAGGAGTTAATTACCACCTTGTACATTGGATTTCTGGGCCTTATTTTTTCCTCGTACTTTGTTTACCTCGCTGAAAGAGATGAAGGCAGAGATGATTTTTCCAGCTATGCAGATGCTCTTTGGTGGGGTGTTGTAAGTAACTTAGCTATCTCAGATCTTAACAATGATGCTCTTTGATTATTGAGATTTGAAATGTGATTGTCTTGGATGGAACATTTAAGCATGAATTTCTTTTGTAAGTTCTTTTATAGAAACACATTCATTTTCCATTGAAGAACAAATTTCTTTTAAGCAAGACTTTGTGTTTGTATACTTGTACAACGTTATGTGAGACTGATTTTCTGTTGTGATGCATATCAAAGGAGGGAATAGTGTCCCTTTCATGCTCCAGTCATAATATTGCCTCCTGATATATTTGTAAATTGGAGCAATACATACATTGATCTGCTGTTTCAGATAACTGTGATGACGATAGGATATGGCGACAAGGTGCCACAGACTTGGATGGGTAAAATTGTGGCTTCCTGTTTCGCAGTGTTTGCTATTTCCTTCTTCGCTCTCCCGGCAGTAAGTACACATTTAATTCATATAACACATATTAAAAGTCGGTGACTGAGAAAAAATCCAATCACTACTGGATTGTCTTTCATGGCCCAGTTGATGAAAATTCTTTATTAGAGCATAATAATATATGTGAAGTTTTTTAAAAGAAAATTGTTTGATTGGCATCAATATTCTTTGATAAACAAGTTTGATATATCAATTTAAGTGTCAAATGTGTTTCATTGATATAGTAATCAGATTAAGTTCAGTCCTCTAAATCCAACTGTAAGACCTTAAGCCTAGAGATGTTCCAATGCTATTTGTAGGGTATTTTGGGATCAGGGTTTGCCTTGAAGGTACAGCAGAAACAACGACAAAAACATTTCAACCGACAGATTCCAGCAGCAGCAACACTTATACAGGTAATGATCTCAGTCAACAACAAATATACAGATACAGGGGGTTAGCAGAGGCCTTGAAAAGCCTTGACGTTACAGTGTGGCCTTGAAAAGTCTTGGCGTTTCAGTATAGCATTGAAAAGCCTTGACGTTATAGTGTGGCTTTGAAAAGCCTTGACGTTACAGTATGGCTTTGAAAAGCCTTTACATTACAGTGTGGCTTTGAAAGCTATGACGTTACAGTGTGGCTTTGAAAAGCCTTGACGTTACAGTGTGGCTTTGAAAAGTCTTGACGTTACAGTGTGGCCTTGAAAAGCCTTGACGTTACAGTGTGGCCTTGAAAAGCCTTGACGTTACAGTATAGCATTGAAAAGCCTTGACGTTATAGTGTGGCTTTGAAAGCCTTGACGTTACAGTGTGGCTTTGAAAAGCCTTGACGTTACAGTATGGCTTTGAAAAGCCTTTACATTACAGTGTGGCTTTGAAAGCTATGACGTTACAGTGTGGCTTTGAAAAGCCTTGACGTTACAGTGTGGCTTTGAAAAGTCTTGACGTTACAGTGTGGCCTTGAAAAGCCTTGACGTTACAGTGTGGCCTTGAAAAGCCTTGACGTTACAGTATGGCATTGAAAAGCCTTGACGTTACAGTATGGCCTTGAAAAGCCTTGACGTTTCAGTATAGCATTGAAAAGCCTTGACGTTACAGTATGGCATTGAAACGCCTTGAATTAATAGTATGGCGTTGAAAAGCCTTGAATTTATAGTATGCATTGAAAAGCCTTGACGTTACAGTATGGCATTGAAAAGCCTTGACGTTACAGTATGGCATTGAAAAACCTTGACGTTACAGTATGGCATTGAAAAGCCTTGAATTAATAGTATGGTGTTGAAAAGCCTTAACTTTATAGTATGCATTGAAAAGCCTTGATGTTACAGTATTGCATTGAAAAGCCTTGACGTTACAGTGTGGCTTTGAAAAGCCTTGATGACACAGTATGGCCTTGAAAAGCCTTGACGTTACAGTGTGGCTTTGAAAAGCCTTGATGTACGGTATGGCATTGAAAAGCCTTGACGTTACAGTATGGCATTGAAAAGCCTTGACGTTTCAGTATAGCATTGAAAAGCCTTGACGGTACAGTATGGCATTGAAAAGCCTTGAATTAATAGTATGGTGTTGAAAAGCCTTGAATTTATAGTATGCATTGAAAAGCCTTGACGTTACAGTATGGCATTGAAAAGCCTTGACGTTACAGTGTGGCATTAAAAAGCCTTGACGTTACTGTATGGCATTGAAAAGCCTGGATGTTTACAGTGTGGCATTGAAAAGCCTTGAATTTACAGTTTCGCTTTAAAAAGGCTTGAATTTCACTGGACTTTAATTTGAAAAGCCTTGATTTTACTGCCTTTGGCCGCAAAGACTAGTGAGGCCTTCAATTGATTAAGTTCAGGTCTTGAAAAAGCCGTGTAAAGGCCTTGAATTTGGTTTGAAATTATTTGTATGAACTCTGAGAAAATGATCCGAGTCAGATTTTTTTTTACATGTAATGGGCTTAGTTATCAAATCTGGTGCAGTAAGAAATCTCAATCAACAATTCATATACTGTTAATTGTTTTCAGCAGCAAATAAATAATTCCTACAAAGATAATGGTCAATGAAATCTTCAATTAAGAGACGCTTGTTTTTTAATGTATTTGTCTTGACATTGAGTATCCTTTTATTTGTCTGTCCATCAGTGCGTTTGGAGATGCTATGCTGCAGACCCAACTTCAAACTCCGAAGCTACATGGAAAATTCACATCCATGACTCGTCCAATGAGGAGACTATGCTTGCCCGCATGGCCAGACGTGCCAGTCTTACACTACGCAAGCGGCGGTCATCACGCATGGACTCCATTTCCATTGGTAATCATGTCCGCAGGGAGAGCCTCACCAGCTTCTACCAGGAAGACAAAATTGGTAAAACTCTGACACACATTGCCAATGGTACCCTTCCTCAATGTGCAGCCAAATGTTCAATATACCTCTCCATGCGAAAGGCAATATTTCATTTTCTACTTTGTATTCTATTCTCCTCTTTGACATACAATATATATATATTTGGAGCTAGTGATATACTTTTTAATCAAGCCTAAGCATCAAACAACTTTGAGCTTTTCTACATTTGAAACCATTGACCTTGTCTTTCTTTTTCAAGACATCCTTAACCTTAAATGTGGCACTCTTGACCTTGTAATTCTGCATGATATACCATTGACTATGTAATTTTACATAAACACCCTTGACATTTTATTTCTACATCAGTTGCTCTTGAAATTTGATTTTACAGTAGATGTCCTCGCCTTTGTATTTCTAAACCAGGAACTTTTGACCTGGTGTTTCTACATGAAGTGGCCTTGGCCTTGTTTTTCTATATCAGTCACCCTTGACTTTGTAGCTAAACTTGAGGTGCTATCGACTTCATTTTTATACATCGGCTACCTTTGACCGTGTTTTTGTACATCAGGCAGCCTCAACCTTTTGTAATGTGACGTTGACAATTTTGTCTTCCATTAGTATAGAAGGAAGTCATATCTCCTCTGTTTTGTGTTTTCTATCCATTCATTATTTTACTTAACACATCATAATTTTTATCTCACAGCCCCAAGGGCTAGTGAGCTTATGCCATGGCGCGGCATCCCTCATCCATCCCTCCAGAGTTCACCAACTTTTCATTTAAACAAATTCTTTTGAAGATTTGAAATGCCTAGTGTCATGATATTTGGCCGACAGCTTCCTTGGTAAGAGCCAGACAAAGTTTGAGAACGAAAATGACCTCGACATGCTTTCAAGTTCACAGGTTAAGTATATCGAACACATAAAACGACTTCTGAAGAAGGACTGAACGGTATATATATATAGAATCATATTATTTGGCTGGTAGCTACTTGGGATGGATCCCTACAAAGATTGCAAATGAAAATGACTTTGACCTAATTTTATGGTCACAGAGGTCAAATATGTCAAACACAACATACTACTTCTTCTGAAAAAGCAAAAGGTATAGAATCATAATATTTGGCTGGTACAATGTAGCTTCCTGAGATGAAGTAGTATCACAAGTAAGCACGGTCTTTGTTTGTTATTTGCATTTGTCATGGTCCCTAACTTCTCACCTCGCCTGGCATTTTTACACTTTGGAAGTTTGGGAAAGTGTCCTCGGTGACGAGAAACCGTGTCCAGGTACAGGCTTTTTAAAAGCGGCTTTTGTTTATCTATGTAATTGTATTGAACATTTGTGTATATGATGTACATGAATAGATTTAGGTCGTTTAAAAAATACCTGAATACACAATTTCTACATAAACAAATGTAGATATATAGCTTAAAAATAAGCCTGTAAATTGAGGTAAAAAATAAGGTAACATACATTAAAAGCAAGCTTATTAAGGTTCAAAACTTAATTGTGTTTATTGTTCAGCCATTCCTCAATTTGTATAAACAATTTATTGCTGTAATTTATTGTTCATCCATTGTGCGCCCAGATGTTCAGAATCTGTAACTGCCCAGTTTTTGATTGTTCTGACCTGGTGCACAGATTGTTTGCACTTTTTGTGCACATCATATTCACACCACGTATTTTGTAAGATTGAGCGATCACACCACTGTATTTTTAGTACCTACACAATGCCTTACATACACCCAGTGCTAAAAGAAAATACCTTGTACATGTAAGATAACTTATTATCTTTAAGTCCTTGAAGACAGACAGCAATACAGCATAATTTGATGTCTGTTGTTCTAGGGGAAGTAACTCCTATTCCTACCTTTGATTTCATAAAGTTTTCAGATTTTGCTTGAGATAACAAATAGAAGAATCACACTCTAGTACTAAGTGTACAAAATTATGAGAACAGTATTATGATTGTATGATTGGAAAGTATTTTTCAGGTATTGGCCATTTGAACCCCAGTTTTGTTTCAGGAATTTATTTTGGATTAATGAAAGTTTTTCTGACCAATGAAAAATGCATTTTCATTAAAAATAATTTGGAACAGTTTAGAAAATAAGTTTACAGGGACAACCAGAACCTATATTACCAATCACCAGCGTTGTAGTTGTGACAAAAGATTGAATTCCGATTTAGCTCATCTGGCACGTACAGAGTACATGTGAGCGTATGTTATAGTGTGGTGTTAATCATCCCCCATCAGTTTATATTAATGCTCAGGATCACCGAGAGCCTTGAGTCAGGATATTTGTCTAAAGCTGATGACAGTGTAAAAGTCCGTTCGGTGAATTTCAATGTACTACATCCAAGGTTAGATGGATACATGGTGTTAAAAATGTGTACATGAAATTGCTCCTGTAATAAACTTGACTACAAGTGTTATTGTTGTAATTATTTAGCTCAATATGAAATGGTCATCCTGCTTTCAAATTACTTGAAACATTGTTAACTAATATATTGTCTGGTTCCTTTTGAGGCTGATGAGAGATATAAGTGACATGGAGCTAGCTCTTGTTTAGGATGTTTTGTTTGTGTTCCTATCACTTGAGTAATGTATATATTATTTGTCAATGATGGTTGACAGAGAAACCTCACTGTTTCAATAAAACACAACAGTGGCTAAGATTAAATTGATTAAGACAGGATTTCAAATGAACCCCTTCAGGGATCTATGTACTTCTGCCAGAAATGGTAACCGTGCATTGGGAACCATTATTCTGGTTGTATGTGATTGGTTATTACAATAGAGGTTTATGATTATTGTGAAAAATGGAGCTCTTTGATTGGTGTATTGGTGTGAAGGTTAGTTATCAGGGTTGAATAATGATGAGGTTTGGTGTTAAATATGAATGTATATGTTATCTGTGTATAAATGACAGTCTGTGGTATAAGAAATGCTGGTCTGTGATTGGATGTTAGAAGTCTGATAAATCGATGGATACTTTTTTTTTCTGGCTTGAAATATATGGCTTAATAAATAAATCATTTCTGAAATAAATACACATGTTGCAGAATTTTCTGCAGACCTTTAGGGTCATTTGAAATATAGAACCAAAGCAAATACAACGTACTGTCAACATATTAAATTGAGCACAACAATTGTCATACTTTAATGATAACACTAAAGAAAACAGGAACAGCGTTATTTTTATAACAATGAAGGATTCTGAGGAAACATAGAATAGTTCTAATTAATGGAGCCAGACTAGAATTTTGAACCCTCGACATCTAAACATCTAAACAGTAGTCACCTGGCCGGATCAGCAGTTGTACTAACCCAATGAGGTCACCAGTAGTCACCTGGCCGGATCAGCAGTAGCTTTATCCAAAAAGAAACAAACGGAAGATCATTGAAGATCCAACAAAAATTGTAGTTGAATTCTCTTGTTTTGTCTGCATTATGACAGAGGTGTTGTAAGAAAAGTATTCTGTGATTGGTTTGAGAAATGGAGGTCTGTGATTGGTGTGAGGAACGGAGGTCTGTGATTGGTGTGAGGAATGGAGGTCTGTGATTGGTGTGAGAAATGGAGGTCTGTGATTGGTGTGAGAAATGGAGGTCTGTGATTGGTGTGAGGAATGGAGGTCTGTGATTGGTGTGAGGAATGGAGGTCTGTGATTGGTGTGAGGAATGGAGGTCTGTGATTGGTGTGAGGAATGGAGGTCTGTGATTGGTGTGAGGAATGGAGGTCTGTGATTGGTGTGAGGAATGGAGGTCTGTGATTGGTGTGAGGAATGGAGGTCTGTGATTGGTGTGAGGAATGGAGGTCTGTGATTGGTGTGAGGAATGGAGGTCTGTGATTGGTGTGAGGAATGGAGGTCTGTGATTGGTGTGAGGAATGGAGGTCTGTGATTGGTGTGAGGAATGGAGGTCTGTGATTGGTGTGAGGAATGGAGGTCTGTGATTGGTGTGAGGAATGGAGGTCTGTGATTGGTTTGAGAAATGGAGGTCTGTGGTTGGTGTGAGGAATGGAGGTCTGTGATTGGTGTGAGGAAAGGTAGTCTGTGATTGGTGTGAGGAATGGAGGTCTGTGATTGGTGTGAGGAATGGAGGTCTGTGGTTGGTGTGAGAAATGGAGGTCTGTGATTGGTTTGAGAAATGGAGGTCTGGGATTGTTGTTTAAACTACAGGTCTGTGCTCGCCAAAACCTGGAGGTTTGTGATTGGCAGGTGTTTTATTGATGTGTTACAGGAACTCCTCGCAGCAACAGACGGGACAGCTCACGTCCAAACATGATGTCCAACCATCCCAATGTTGGAGGCAATGACCAATATGAGGACCAAATGGAATATGACTTAGATGATGTAGAAAAAGTCGTGCAGTATGTGTACAGGTGTTCAGTCGTTTTCAACTAACAATTTTTACTTATACAATTCCTAAGATTGCATTCCTCACTTTTGGTCAAATAGAAATATATTTTATTTCTTTTAGGCTCCCTTCCTGGCATTGGTTTCCAGGCAAGCATAGCATCTCAATATCCATTTTCACCAAAGATGGCCTTTATAGCAACCTACCAGTATTGTTGGTTGACATGTGTTTCTCTATTGTTGGCATACATTTTAATTCTGACTGGCTTTAAAAGTGAGGGATAATATCACACTTTCATGTTTGTCTGGTTATAAACCTTGAAATATTGTGCCACCATTTGTCCAGTATGGGTATAATATTTTGCATTATAAAACATCCAGGTACATATCATCAGTCTCTGGGTGAATTAACATCTTATAGGACTTGAACAAAATATATTTAAATACATGTATAAGCTTGTATAATGTTTCACACAAACTGGCAAATGAAACAATTGATGATATTTCAGGTTTTACCATACATGTATTATTACCACACCTGTTTTATTTTAAAAAACTAACAATAATTTGAGGACATTTCTTTTGAAGTATATTATATGAAAAAGGAATGATAATGATTTGGGGATAATTCTGAAACTTTGATGAAACTCTTAATTGATAAAATTTTACAGCATTTTTTATGAATAACCTTATAGAATAACTTAATAAGTGTATAACATACAAACATCATATCCTGTTATAAATTACATCATGTAAGCATCATATATGTATAAATATAAATGTATCTATAGGATCTTGCAAGAGTTTCCATTTTCCATGAGATGGAATTATGAATCGATACGTTTTAAGAATCTTTTGTAGAGCCACCCTCAGTTTGTTGAGTTGGATTTAATATTGACAAAATGCTATTTTTTTCATCTTCAGATTAACTGATGCTCATAAAACAGCCATACGGGTACTGCGAAAAATTAAATACTTTGTCGCGAGACGAAAGTTTCAGGTAAATGCATTATAGTTTTTTGGGTTTTTTTTTCTCTCTTTGTTGATGTGCATGTCTGTAAAGGTGTTGGTCTCACTCGATACCTATTTAATATTTCATACCCTTAGTGTTGAAGTGAAAGTGAAACTCAAAATGAACAGGTCCTCAAGAAACTTTATTTTATAATTGTTGGTATTTGCATAGTAAGACTAGGATTTTAAAAGATTTTTACGATTAAAAAATATCTTCTTCATTTTGCAGCAAGCCAGGAAACCATATGATGTCCGAGACGTTATTGAGCAATATTCTCAAGGTCATCTTAATATGATGGTTAGAATCAAAGAGTTACAACGAAGGTACTATTGGCTGTAAAACATTGTTAATGGTATGGGCAGCTAACTGCTCATAGAAAATGATACCATGAACTTTGAAGGTTATATAATTACCTGATTTCCTACTAACATATTGTCTGGCCTGATTACAGATTTGTTTAATGTGTCTGAGTTTGTCGGTGACATGCTGTTATAGTTTTGATGGGAGACATCCTGACAGATACAGCATATGGTCAAGAAATTAAATATTTAGGGGCTCACAATTTCCTATTCTGGCGTCGTCGTTGTCCCTGTTTTACCAATTTTAGTTCTCTACTTGTCCTTGTGTGGTGTATATCACTTATCACAGTTTTGCATTATGATGGTTTCCTTTTGATAGATTAGACCAGACACTGGGCAAACCTGGGACACTATACTCCAACTGCTACAAAGATAGGGAGAGGATGACAATAGGTGCTAGGATTGTCCGCATGGAGACACAAGTAAGGCATTAGAGTCGCTGTTATAATAATATTTTTGCGGAAATATTGATAAGGTTTTGAGTGCAAGATTCGAGAAAACAAAATTGTGCAACTAGTAGAATTGTCTGATATTAACATTGGAAAAATTACAGATAATAATCATGGAACAAAATCAAACATTTAATATCTTGACATGTATCATATGAAGAGTGTGTAGACGTTTTATGAGAACATTGTATTGATACTTGATATCTTGTCCAATTACATAGATGCAGAAGACGGATCAGAAGCTTGATCAGGTGATATTCCTCTTAAACAGCTGGCTCAAGTCTAAACCAATGAACACAGACTCGTTAGAGGATGAAGTATGACCTGCTTAGTGTGTAACAATAAAAATGGTATACCTGTTTTCCTTGGCAGCAAATTACCACGTGAAAATAGAACAAGGAAATCGCCACTTATTGAAGTTACATTGTATATTTGTTGTGTATTATTTTGTATAAGAAGAAAGGCGGAAGATATAATCAAAATGAACAAAACGTTTGATAAGTTTGGATGACCTAGTGAACCGAAATAAGGGCAAGGACTTTCGCCTCATGATGTCATTCTATGTTTATTGTGTCGGGAGAGAGTGCAATTGACATGCTGTTCATTCCAGAAAGCGTTTTTGATCATTTTTTAAATATAAGGTTTATTTTACATTGAATTTGTTATGAAACATATGTAATATTATGGTTCCGAAACAAGGTTTGGAGACATATTGCTTATACTGCAATTGTTCTGTTTCTTCTTTATAACATTTTGTTCCGGCTAAGAGTTCCCACACGTTTTCATAAAACTACAGGCAGGATAACATGATTAACGGACATATGTGGGTGAGTAATAATTATTCTATTTTCTAATATGCCATCAAACCTGGCCACAGCAGTTTCCTATTGGATAGGACAGTTACATCTAATTCTATCTGAAATTCTATTTGGCCGAATTTCCAAACAGAATAAAAGCAATATATAGGTAGTATCAGAGACTTATAATGTATTATACGTCTCTGGTAGTATATTTGGAGTTTAACCACCGATTTTTAGCTCACCTGGCACGAAGTGCCAAGTGAGCTTATGCCGTGGTGCGTCGTCCGTCCGTCGTCCGTCTGTCCGTCCGGCGTCCGTCCGGCGTCCGGCGTCAATATTTTACTTTAAATGACTTCTTCTTAATAATTGAAAGGCCTAGGGTGATGATATTTGGCCAGAAGCAAACTGGGATGAAGGGCTACCAAGTTTGTTCAAATAAATGACCTTCATCTATTTTCAAGGTCACAGGGGTCAAATATGTTAAAAACTTTAAACAACTTCTTCTCAATAACCAAAATGCCCAGGGTAATGATATTTGGCCAGTAGCATGCTGAGATAAAGGGCTACAAAGTTTGTTCAAATAAATGACCTTCACCCATATTCAAGGTCACAGGGGTCAAATATGTTAAAAACTTTAAACAACTTCTTCTGAATAACCAAAATGCCCTGGGTGATGATATTTAGTCAGTAGCATACTAGGATCAAGGGCTACCAAGTTTGTTTAAATGTATGACCTTGAATCATATTCAAGGTCACAAGGAGCAAATATGTTTAAAATATTTCAACAACTTGTTCTGAATAACCAAAAGGCTCAGGATGTTGATATTTAGTTAGTAGCATATGCTGGGATCAAGGACTACTATGTTTGTTAAAGTGAATGACTTTGACTTATATTCAAGGTCACAGGGGTCAAATTTGTTTAAAATCTTTAAACAACCTCTTATGAATAACCATGGGTCCCAGGATGTTTATACTTTGCAAGTTTCATCCTGAGATGAAAGGCTATACAATGTGTTCAACATAATGACTTTGTTCGACTTTCAATCACAGGGGTGAAATGTTTTAAAAAAAATTAACAGGGTCTTTTGAACGAATTTTAATCACAAATACTGATATTTTGCCTGTAGCTTTATTTTAGATCACTTTTAAGGTTACAAGTGTGAGTTTTATACCAGGTGAGCGATGCAGGCCCATTGGGCCTCTTGTTTAAGTTTCAGTATCCAGTATTGCAGTCATGGCCTCTGACTAGACGAGGCAGTTACGGGTATAACTTGAGTTCTAATAGGACTAATTTGTGCAGGCTTTTGTGGGAGTAATACTTTGTCGGGGTACCTTCACCTCTGACGACCAACTTTCATGTCTCTGTGATTCCTGATAGCAAGTCTGGCTTTTATTGGTTGATTAATGTACGGCCGCATCATTCGTGGCTGCATGTGCAGTTTAAGGGAAAGCATTTGTAAAAGTACAAGCTTAAGTTATAATTTGTTTGTAATACGTGTACATTTGTATGTGCCATTTAAGGACTGAAATACGTAGTGTTAACAATTGAGGTATATGGAGAAACCCAGTTGCTAATATAACATATATAAATATAATTTCAGTAATACTTAAAGACCCTAAAAGGTTTTTGATAGGAAAAAACATTCACGTGTACTATTTTTTCGAGTTATAAGCTTTCATAACAATATCTTTATTTCAACGGTCATCAGGCAATTGCTTGAGTGTTCAAATTACTTTTTAGTAGCCCGGCGTCTGTCCTTCCGTCTCATCAATCTGTCTGTAAAGAATTTCCTAACGGCTTTCTCTCAGAAATTACAAAAGAGATCATGACTAAATTTTGTATGTATGATTTCCATGGTTATGCATGGATCAGAGTAGAGAATTCCTTAAAAACAGATCTATGTAATCATGACAAAATATGAGATACATGATCGTCTTGTGTCCTTCAGATTTTGCCAAAACATAATATTACTACCAGGCCATACTGGATTTTGTATGGAAATTCCATGTAAGCACTATTTACGCTTTTTTCTGAAAAATGCTAAAAGCATCATGATGAAATCGTTTTGAATGACCCCTTTTGTTCATAGGAACTACCAAAAGGATCACGACTGGTTTTAAATTAAGTTCAGAAAAAAACGCCACCAGGGCCTGTATTTATGTTCTCATTTTCAAATTCTGATACTGTGCTTAAACTTTATTGTTACTGGAGAACGAAATTATTTGCAAATCGCATTTTATTTATGATTTGGAAGACTGTTGAGGGTTGTCAAACTGAATATCGTTCTAAATGGCGATAGCAAAGTTTTCCTTAGTGGCATGATTTAGTTGCGTTAAAGATATTTGGTTGGAGCAGAGAATCCATTCTTGAACATAGAAAGGTTTCTTGAAGAGGGCCCCACAGGTTACTTGGATTTTCTTTAGATATTAGTATGTAAAGGCTGTTTTTCAGAAAGAGTTCTAAAGGGATTATAATGAAACATGGAATGTATGATCCCCATGACCCACAAAAATGAAATAGCCATTTTGGTTTTCACAAGTTTAGTACTGCTTTTTCTAAGAAATTATTTCTGGATCATGCAAAACATTGAAAATATGATCTTTGTCCTTCTATGTGTATGCTTTGATTAGATGGGTCGGAAAATCTAATCTAATAGTCCCTACAAGATCATGATGTAAATTGTTTTGCATGAACCTTTGATTAAATGTATACATGTATATATATGTATATAAAAAACAAAAGACAAAAGTTTCTCCGACGTCCCTAGTGCTTTCCCCTCTTTAGAGGGTTCATCAAGAGAACTTTATTCATGTTGACAGGACAACAACACAACACAGAAAGTTATGTATATATATATATATTTGTACAAGACGAAAACAGGGCACGTAGTAGAAAGGAACTTATATTAAATACCAGCAACATTCCATGCTATGTCATTGGGGAGCGCCAAGGTCCATCTGGGGTCTTTTGTTAGTAGGTTGATTTAGATGCTGCACAAAGAAATGTAAATATGATATATTGTATGTGTTATAGTTGTGTTGTAAATTACATAAACATGAACAAAAGATCTCATTAACTTCAGGACTCTAGTAAACATTGCACTACAAAGTTGATGGTATCACTGAAAAGCACACTATTCATTTAACTTATATCTATATGTCTGCACCAAGTTTATTTCCCTTTTCTCTGTTGTCATTCCCTGGTGTACTATGATGCTAAAATGGTGCTTATAAGAATTGTAATTCTTTTTAGTACCTTATCGGAAAGATAGAAACCGTTGTCGATTTGTGCAAGAAACAAATCAATATTTTTTTGCAAGTTATAGTCTTTCAAATCACTAAAACGTTCAGGTATAGTTTCAGTATTACATTTGAAAATTCAAATGATTAATAAGGATTTTTTTTAAATCCTATTTGATCTCCCTTCAAAAAAAGAAAAATATATATTTTTGAAATTTATTTGTACGGAAAAAGCGATTACTTGTACACGTAGAATTCACATTAGTAATACAAAATATTGAGTGAAAATTTAGATGTTACAACCTGAAATAAATCCAATTAACAATATTTTTGGAGGCAATAAATAATGTATAGAAGGTACCCTGCTATTGTTATACATTGTGTACATTTTTGTTTCCGACGAGACCCATCCATTCCATTTATTTGTTCCCGTGATGCCATACTGCTCAACACTGTCACACAGTCACTTGTATGTATGCAGACTAACATCGATATTAAATTTATCACTTTTGTATTCAATTGAATGTTAAGAGACTGATGAACTTGTCACTAGTCTTCAGTAAGTAAAACCATTTGAAACTCTTCATTGATATAGCAGTTTTATATGTATTGTACTTATCATCAATATTGAATTTAGTCTGTCTTACGGTTTTTTACTCTATTACTTTTTGACAAAATGACGTTGTCCATGGTTTGTCACCCTAACGATATCTTCATTATTAATTTGACACGTGTTAAACATACAGTTATGTATGTGTGACTGTTTTAGTGACTTGTATGCGGCTTATTATGTGTAGAAATGTTCTGAACTTGTAACAGCACAGTCACTAGGTCAAGATCCCACTAAATCTGTTACATATCTGTATTTACACACAGTGAATCACCTATGTCCCATTTTTGCAGATACTGTTGATTTCGTTGTAACTTGAATCGGCAAATTCAACCTAACAATCAACATTTCTAATTGAACGAAATCATAGATCTTTTTGTCCATATGAAAGAAATCAAAAGTAAAAATATGCCTCGAGCTATAAGTCTGCCTTGGTCATAGTAAGCACGGGCGTAATTGCTCATAGAAATAATAATAATAAAAGAAAGCAAATAGCAAGTTTTGCAAGTATACAACGCTAGTGTGACCCCCACCGGTTCTGTGGGCGGGGCTATATGTTTGTATTCTGTGTATCCTTTTGTCAGTCAAGTTCGTCACTACATCACTATGTCCAGTGTTTATCTCATACTTGGTCGCCTTCAATTACCAAATTATGTTTGCAAGCATTTCTTCGATTGCGGTTTGTCGCCCACTGAATCGGATCTCATGTTCCCTCTATATACAGAGTTGTGTCCTTTCATTCAATTTTCACAGAGGTATGCGATCATTGATGGTCACCGGTTTTGCCTTGTTGAACATAATTGTAATTCATTATATTTTCTAAATTATAAAGATGTTTTCCTTTGTCTCTAAGAAAAACGTTTGCATTGCCTCTGTAAAGTGATTCACCGTAATTTTCCTATTCAGCTATAAAGTGATTTTTTGTATTTACAATGTACCAAGAGTATGTAAGTTATGTTCACAACGGATAAATAAGTTTTGTTTATAATGAGAACCCAATGTGTTTTAACAAGTACGGAAGATTTAAGAGAGCAGATTTAAACTTAAATATCTCTTAGTTTAAAAACATATATTTGAAATATTTTGAGAGATATGACAAATTGTACTTCCTTTGTGGTTTTCATATGTAGATGAATTTCGCAATAGATATTTTACTTCAAGGTAAACATATATTCTAGAGAATCATGAAAAATAATGCGATATATATAGGTACATAAATATAGTCTTTTTTTCAGCACATATTTTACGAGAATAGCTTATACACATGTACAGACATAGGTGATACACTCGTTAAATATCCAATCATATAACGTAAATAAGATATAGTGCAAATTCTAAATTGTAATCAGAAAAGCATATTAGGGTTCATGTTGTTCTAATTTTTGTTTGTGTCCTCTCGGTTTCTCTTGCTCTTGTGTG